CATAGGCCCGACCTAGGGCCCGTAATTTTTGGAGCCCGAAAATTAGATTTTTAATTTTTGTCATTAATTTTAATTTTTATTTAACAGAAATCCGATAATTAAATGGAACTGCATACTATATGCTTTAAAATCAAACTACCAAACGTAAAGTATGTGTCATGAATGAAAAATAGGCCCTCAATTACAATGTTGCCTGGGGCCTGCTTTAGCTTTAGTTCGCCACTGGGAGGGGGCTCTTAAAACATGATAAACTAACATATTTTCGTAAGAGATTCTAGTGTACACTAAGTTTGTCATGATGATTTGTCTTCAAATTTACACTCAAGATCAGGCCCTCTTTTCCCATTGGGCAGTCTGGGCATCCATCAATCGAAAACCAATATTTATTACCGACAAAAAGTATTTATTTTTAGAAAATCGAGCATTAATTACGAAACAAAATTGAAAACACATTTCCAAATGTAGAATGTGCATTAAGAATCTTTTTAAGCATGATGATGGCTAACGGATTTGGGGAGCGCTCTTTCTCCAAATTGAAATGAATAAAAAATAAATTAAGAAGTACAACGCTTTAAGAAAGATTGACCAGTATGTCGCTAATGTCCATAGAATGTGAAGTGCTCAAAGATATAGACTTTGAATAACTTATTGACGATTTTGCTTTTATCAAAACTTCTCAATAACATAGAATTTTAAGCACTAATTATTATCTATTAATTTATTGTTATTGAAAATAAATAAAAATTATTGTTCAATAAATTTAGAATTCTGCTTATTTAATCTTTTTGGTTGTTTTAACAAAAGTCCTCTGTCAAAGTCATAGGGGCCCCGTTAACCTTATGTGCCCAGGGCCTCCAATAGGTTAAAGACGGTTCTGCTCAGGGTCCAAATTTCCAGAATTTAGATGACTATTACAGTGTATAATTAAGGGATGAAACTATGCTTTAGGCCACTTACGATATCTAGGATGTAGTCGTTTAATCAGTGTTTTTAAATTAAAGATCACCCATCTGTTATATTAATTTAAAATCATTTTTTCGATTTTTTATTACCCACTACAAACTACCTCAAATTAATGAGGGAAAAAATCTGTTGATGCGTTGAATGTGCTTAAGTGTTAGTATTCGATTATAGGGTCATGGATAGAATGTGGTAGTGGTTGGGGAAAGATCTCATAGCACAGAAAAAGAAAAAGAAGATTGGCACTTCCTAACTCTGAAAATAGAATTATAGAAATTGATGATTTTCAGTCGTTTTCTGTTACTTCTACAAGGAGATTACCTTCGTGCCAAACTTCACGATTCTAGTTTAATGTTTAACGGATCAAAGGTCGTATCTTTTTATTGCATTGAGCTAGGAGCATGAAGTTTTTGCAGGACAATAAAGCTAGAGGCAAAAGTCGTTGCTGTTTGATACCTATTATCTTGACGAATATATTGTTCCGTTTTTCAGTCTGAGATGCAGAATCCTGAAATTAAAATTGAGAAAAACTTAATTTTTAGTATAGTATAAACACAACATAAAGTTAAAAAATTTTTTATTGTTGCCACAATAATTATTTCGACTTTATTTAGATGAAATATTATAAAAAAAATATTTTGTAACTTTACGTTGTATTTTCTTTTATTAATAACAAGGTGTTACTCGCGGCTTTACTCGCTCGAAAATACAATAATTTAATAAATAGTTATGACCAGGATCATCAAGATAAAACTAAAGTTCCTAATTTTCTATATTAAACACTCATTTTGCGTAAAATGACAACAAACACTGTACTTTATCGAAATGAAAAGAAGTTTTTTTATCCCTCGGGAACAGTATTTTTTCTAGATATAAAAAGTGCCCTATATCCTTTTTTGTACTTATCACATGTGTACAAAATTTCATGATAATCGGTTAAATAGTTAAGGCGTAAAATAGTAACGAACAAACAAACTCACATTCGCTTTTGTAATATTAGTTAGGATGGAGTCACAAAATATAAAACTTCTATTCAATTCTTAAGTTTTAGCATTTTTTCATGCACCAACTTTATAGTTAAGATATTGTTTTACTTTGTGGCACTTCGGGTTTCATATTATCGGCAAAGAAATAAAATGAAAATCGAAAGATTATTCTTTATTTTTATTTTTCTTATTTTGTAGCCATTCCGTACTGATGTAATGAAGTAATTTTAAAGTATGTCTCCTATGTACATTGGTGCATAAATAAATTGAACATTTAAAAAGTTACAGCCTTCGCGCTAAAAATGACATTGAACTACAGCTACCTAACAGGTTTGAATAGATAAATACTTCCGAAATAATGAATGTTATTAATTATTCTTCCTGTAGATATTTTATTACAAAACCATAAGGTCAATTGTTCTTTTTTTAGGAAAAGAGCCACTTTATCTTCAGGACCTAATACACCAAAGCTTTTTTTTATTAACAGTGAAACGTCATTGATCAGTTTGGTTATTTGCGCTAGAGTCGATCGCATTTCATTTTAAATATTTGTTTAAAACAGAAAGATAATTTGAGTATCAATTCGTAGCGTCATCGTATGGACCGTAACATTTTGAAATACACCTATTGACGTAAATCGAAATTTCGTAATTATAAGTTTGCGGATATATATATGACGATTTTTTGTTGACGGTTATATACATAAGTGATAATTTAGTTAAAATAAAAATTAGTTCAAACCAGATTTCGAGCTCGTTAATTAATCCGATTTTAGGGATCAACAAAAATCAACCTTTGTGTATTGCGTTCTTTTAAAAAAATTTATATGTATTTTATATTTACTTTTTCATAAATTCCACTAATAATAAGAATTATAATTGAACTTTTGTCACTTGGACTTTTGTAACTAGAAATCTTTTCTACATCGAATATATTGTTTTGTTCCCTTCGCATAAATTGTTTTACACTTATTCTTAACTCTAATTCAAATTTCTCAACAAAAATATCGATATATTGATAACTATAACAGCAACTGATAACTATCGACATATCGATTTATCTATTTATTAATTACTATCGATACTTATCGAATACATACGTACCGATAACTATAGATATGGATAACGTAGGCTTACAAAAATCTTCCACCAGCCCTTTTTAATAGTGCCTTAAATTTCCTACAAAAAATGTCTTGCCAATTCCTATGCATTAATTCGTTGTCAAGTTTCAAAATTAAAAAAGAAAAATTCCTATGTTATTTCAATAGGAAATAGAAAATTGCTAAAATATTACTATTAAGGGCTCATATTTCAAGAGGATCTATGTCTAGGGATACTCTATCGATTTTTAAATGTTTTCCGAAAAAAATGTTTCTTATCTGTGTATAAGATCAGAGTACGGTTAAGTTAGGATCATACGTTTACGATAGGAAAAGACAACAGTTACGAAGTACTTATATGGTCTGATTTCGTGATACACGATTATAAAGGCTATTAGAGGTGTGTTTAACAAAAGCAATATACGTTGAAGCGATATCTTCGAAAGACAAATTAAAAAGTTTGACGGTAAAGAAGAAATTTGAATTTTCTGTAATTCCAACGTAACTAGGTTTTATTAATTAATCAATTTTTTAAATTGACCAATTTTTTTGAGTAATTTATTCTTTCAAAAATTGATGGCGGTTTAGTTTATGAAAGTAAATTACTCAAATAAATTATTTAAAAAATATTTTTCTGTAAATAATAAAGCAGCTATATTTGAGCTTTGAGCGCCACCCTTATCATTTTTTAGAGGAAAGAATATGTTTTCGGGACCCCACCTAAAATTAGTTGCTGGTCCCTGCTCTTTACTATTTCTCTTGATAAAAATTATGCCTCAGGTTATGAAAATTCTATACAATCGATTCCAATCCGAATAAATAACAAGTTCTAAAATAACTTTTTATTGCTTTTGACAATTTTAGTGCAATCGTTAATTTGACATAACAACCATTAATATTAATAGCATCATTTACTGAATCACTGGAATCAAGATAAAAATGTGCAGCATTTGTACAAAAAATTATTGTAAATTACTTATTACTGTTTATTTTGATTTCTTATTTATTTTAGTATGTCTGCGTATAAACCCGTCAAAACTAACATGATGATAACTTATCGTTAGTACAAACCAAAGTCGGTTATAACCGGTTTTTGGGATTTCTTAATGAACCTCTTTTTCATGGGTCAAAAACTTAAATTGCAAACAATATCTGTTATCATAACGATATGGGAACAAAGTCAAATCGGGGAATTATTGTAATTAAAAAAATGTACAATATGTATCATAATGATTCTTAAGTCCTTAGAAAATTTATTATATATAGAATATCATTAGCTATTGCTCGTATTCCTCTCAAGAGAAGAAACAGTAATTACAAAAATTCCAATTTGGGAGTTTAAATTTTTAGACATTACCAAAAAGAATATTCTCACTTTGTGGCCTGAATTTTTTATGCTCTCAGCTTCTTAAAGCTAAAAACCACGAATATGACCTTTTATTTATGTTGTGTGACATGTTTTTTATAATAATGGCACGTCTGTGAACAGTTCTTATTTTGTTCTTTTTTTTATTATTGTAAGCTATAACACATAACATAGGAAGGTTGGCCAATTAGTATAAGCTATCAGATAATGGAAAAATTCAGGCCAAAAAAAGAAAATAATTTTTCTTTTAATTTTTAACCACCAAAAATCGGATAAGAAAACCGAAGTAGATTTTCTCGAAAACGGTGCATTTTCAACCACCAAATGTCAATTTAACAATCATTTCAAATTAGTAATAGTTTTTTCTCTCTAGAGGAACGCTAGCAATTTCTAAACACCCTGTATCACTGTAGGTATATCAAACCAACTTAAATCATATTTTAAAACTTACGTTAGAATTTGGAGTTAGTATAAAAATGTTACTAAAATTGAAAAAGTCAATAAACAATGAGTAGCTATTTTATTTATAATGGCGCTGTAGATTTTTATATGCGTGCTACATTTTTGAACCGGACACTACATATATTCAAAAAAGTTTACATAAAAGTATCTTCTTTTGATATGATAAAGGTTGCTCACTGTTGTGACATCGAAAAACAACAACATCTAACTAAAGGTACGCCTTCCATGGTAAAGGTCAGCAATATACGATACGTAACAAATTTTTTGTCGTCTTGTAGTGGTACAATATAAAACGGTGATGATAATCGCCTTGTACGTTCAAATTAAAATCGGCAAGCACTCGAGCAAAAGCTTTATTAATTCGCATATCATAGCCGCGATTCGCGCGCATAGCTTACTTACTTTATATTAAAGCGTATCGAGAATCGGTAAAGGCAGTTCGCGTTGATAGTGCATTACATAAAGTATTCCGATCTTATCTGGACATAAAAAGTTATTGTAAACCTGTTTCCGACGCGCTTTCTCGACTTTTTCGAAAAACCTTTTCTTGTTATAATGGAAATGGACACAGAAATGGCGGAGGGCAATTTCGAGGTGAATATTTTCGATCGCCAGGCAATGTACAAATCACTGGCGCTGGCCGAGACCTTGTCCAGGGTCAGCATGCTCACTTCCCCGGCCGCCAAACGAAGACTGGCCGCAAGAAGTGCGGAAATGAAATTTGGACACCTCGATAACGTTTCCGGTTGTTTTGTACCACCCAAGGAAGTTCTCTTGTATCTCGTAAGGTGAATTATCAAAATATTTATGAGTAACTGTAAGGAACGAGGAGTTATTGTAGAAAACGAATTTCTTTTTTAATATTTCTAAGCAGTTGTTAGTGCATAATGTTTGTAAACTTTTGAGGAGCATTTAAAGTATTTGTTATTTCGATAATAGTTCTTGTGATTACTTTTTCTTCTCGTGAATAACAGTACATCAGTATAGCAGAACTGTTACAATTTCTGTCGCTTGTTAGTATAGGTACCAGATTTGGATTAACTTATTGGTATGATTTTGTCACTTTGCAGACTTTTAGTAATTGTAAACATCAGAAAAACGGTTTTAACAACTCATCCCTCTCGTTAAAAATCCCCCCCCCCCCAAGAATTAAAATTTCGTTGGTTTAGTGTTTAAACGACTTAAAGTGATTTGCGACGTTGATGAGGGTGGTATTTAATGGCAAGCCCACCAGAATGAAGGTTCATGTCTTCGGACTGTTTTTGCCCTATCTTAAAGATGTTTGGGAGGTATGTCAAAATGCTACGAGACAAATAAAAATTTGGAAGAACGTTCCTCATTCGATTCTAAAACTCCTGTAAAAATTAAAAATCGATTCACTAAACTGTTAAAAAGGTCCATTGAACATCTACCTTGTTGGCTTCGGGTCATGTTCACTGAACCTTAACAACTATCAGTATAAATTAGGATTAGTTCTCATTTAGGTTTAGTTTACTTCAGTCCCTGAAGAAGGTAACTTTGTTACCGAAAAGTGCTTCGGACAACTACAGTGTCGTGTTTTGGCGTTGGGGTTTTGAGCTATTCTGTTTGTTCTA